TTACCCCCCCATCAAAATAGCCGTTGTCTTCAACCCCTAATAATACACCCCACCAAGACCGTTCAATCCACAAATGCATATCATCGTTGAGTTTGTATATGTCAGCGTAACACTCTTGGCTCCGCTCATGTAGATAAAAATCAACTACGGTCTTAGCCCAAATGGTATTATCCAGAATTGTTTTTGGTAGTTGTTTCCTCTCCACTTCATCTACCGGAATGGTACTAGCCGGTAACTTATACGAAAGCCAACAGTCATCCATCATGTCCGGTACGTAAGGGGGCTTCTCAATAATTCGATATATTACGCCATGTGAATCGGGCTCTAGAATGTTGGGAGGGATCTCTTCAACGATGACAGTGGCCTCTTGAACGGTGGGAGGGGACTCTTGAGGGATGATAGGGGCCTCTTGAATGATAAAGGATGCCTATTGAACGATGACAAGTGAGTCGGGCTTTTTCTTACGGATTCTTCGCACTATTGGGGTGAACGGAGACGTAATGGCACGTGCACGCCGTCTGATGCGTGAACTCTGTCTTGCAAGAAAAACCCGACGTAGAGCATCCACCTTAGCGGGCCGCTAAAAATAAATTAATACATAAATCAGTACATAAACAGACATGATATTAAATAGTGAAAACAAAGACAAATATATTTCAAACTTGCACGGTATTCTCCCAAGTCATTATTATATCATTGTTCACAAAATGCATCAGATAACATTCCAGAAGTAAGCACTTATATAAACATTTAAAAGGATAACATATAGGTTTAGTGCAGGTTCAATGACAACATAAAGAGTAGTAGTTTATTCTTGAAACTTAAATTTTTAACACTGTGAATTTAGTATTTGTCTTTTGGTTGAAGTAATGCAATTCATTCAAGTTTCAATTTGCAGAAGAAGAATAGAATCTGAAACTTAAAATCGCAACGCGAAAATGACTATCGCAACACGGAAATGACTATCGCAACGCGAAAATGACTATCGCAACGCGAAATGACTATCGCAACAAGGAAATGACTATCGTAATGCAAATTTGACTATCACAACGAGAGAATCGCAATGCGCGAAAATGACTATCGCAACGCGAAAATGACTATCGCAACGAGAGAATCGCAATGCGATTTTCATTTCGCATTGCGATTCTTTCGTTGCGATAGTCAAATTCGCATTGCGATAGTCATTTTCGTATTGCGATAGTCATTTTGGCGTTGCGATTTTGTTGTTGCGATTTTCTCGTTGCGATAGTCATTTTCGTATTGCGATAGTAAACTATTCTTCTTCTGCAAATTGAAACTTGAATGGATTGCATTACTTCAACCAAAAGACAACCAAAAACAAATACTAATTTCATAGGGTTAAAGAATTAACAGTATTGGCAGCAACCGAATGAATTTACTAAGCAATCTAAGTGAAATTACGAGAAAATTTATCATCAAGTTAAATATGAAAAATATTAAACTTACCTCGTTGCGTAGAGTATGAACCTCATTCTGCAACGATACTACAATCTCACGTAGAGTTGCTACCTCACCACGTAAAGTAGACACCTCAACACGCCATGCACCATTGTCATCACGTAAAGTGCCGACCTCCTCACGCAAGGCATTGACCTCATTACGTAACTCCCCTAACTCATCCCGTGGAGGTGGAGAACAGGGAGATAAACATCGTGGCATCTTTGTCGGTCGCCTATCATGAGGTGATGGTGGAGAAGAGGCTCGATGATGTGACAGAATAGGTGATGACTCTCGTTGTGGAGGTGTATATTCGGGTCGATCAGGTGATGGCTCTGGGTGAGGTGATGGCTCTCGAAGTGGTGGCTGCTCATCATCCGTGCCATCAAAAAAACGCTTACTAGCTTGCCACCAATCAGTGGCAAGCTCAGCTTCCGTGGGTGTCAGCCTCTGTAATGGAGTGTTGGCCTCCTAACAATATAAAAGCTCAAACAAAGTTAAACGTGTAATAGTAATAACTTGTTTATAAACATATGGTAGTATTTATGTTAACTTACATTATTTATTGTAGTATACGGTAGTAAATCTTCCCATTGCTGCAAGGACTGTTTCCTCTTCCAGGAAATAGCCCTAGGAATATCATTATAAGTTTTTAATGCATATGTCTGCATGGCGGGAAAGACCTCAAATATCCAAATCTACAAACAATATAATAACAAACATTAGTAATTGTTAAAGAATTAATTATAATTTTGGAAACATTATATAAAAATTATTATCTTAAAGGCCCAAATAAAGCCTGACAAAGTGTATTTGGAACCATCGCCACGCAAACTTTTCTGATCATCAAAGGCAGACGACAACTTATTCCATGTAGCTTTCCATAGATACGAACCCCACGAAAACAGGTTCCATGCATTTAGGTCCTCTACCAATTTAATTAGATCATTAGGAATAGGTTGTAGGGCCTCTCTGCCTAAAAATCCGGCTTGCAAAAGTATTAGAAGGCATACTCGGACAACATCGACGTCATCCATCCGAGTAAAACCATCTTTCTTATTCAATAATCTCGTCAAGTCTTCTACGTGTAAATTCGACAGCTCAGGAAAAACCCGGGAAAACCATGATAGGCGGGTAATATGTCTAGTGCACCGATCTACATCATCGTGTCCGAAGCGTAGACCGGTGATTAAGCAAAACTCCTCCCGCCCAAAACACGTATACGCCGGTAGAAAATCAAACCATATCTCTTCATCACGACGTTGTATAGTCTCTGGTAGATCGCTAGTTATGGTTTGAAGAAACATATGGGTCAACATAGCATCTCCACCCAGATGTTGTACTTTCAGCCATGGCCGAAGCAAGTATCCTCAAATATTTTTCTTTGTGCATGTGAAAGATTCGACGCAATTATTTTGGCCAGGCTTACTTTATTTCTTAAGGTCAATTGAGCCGAATAAAAGTTCTGCAAAAACAATAAACATACCAAGTTAGATATACCAAAAACTACACTGTGAAGATATAACAAGAACAATAAACATAAAGAGTAGTAGTTTATTCTTCAAACTTAAATTTGCAACACTGTGAATTTAGTATTTGTCTTTGTTTTTAGGTTGAAGTAATGCAATTCATTCAAGTTTCAATTTGCAGAAGAAGAATAGTTTCTGAAACTTAAAATCGCAACACGAAAATGAAAATCGCAACGCGAAATGAAAATCGCAACACGAAAATGACTATCGCAACGCGAATTTGACTATCGCAACGCAAGAATCGCAACATGAAATGAAAATCACAAAGACAGAATCGCATTGCGATAGTCATTCTCGGTTTCAAATACTAAAATTGAAAGAAACTTGAATGGATTGCATTACTCCAACCAAAAGACAAAACAAAGACAAATACTAACTTCACAGGGTTAAAGACTAAGCAGTTTAGCAGTATTGGCAGCAATCGAATGAATTTAATAAGCAATCTAAGTGAAATGGTTAATCTATTATTGAAAACACCAGTAAACTTATCATCAATTTCAATATGAAAAACCTAATAATAATGCAAAAATTTCAAAATAAAAATAATTAAAAAAACTAACCCTCGGTGGTTGATTTTCCATTTATGACTGTGAATGATTTCGCCGGAGATGGAGACTGATATCGTCGGAGATGGGGACTGATTTCGTTGGATACGGGGACGGATGTCGCCTTAGAGAGTGAGAGATGGAGATGAGACTGATTTGTGATTTAGGGTTTTAGGTTATGAGTTACGATTACGGGATATACTGTGGATGGTTCAGTGTTCCGATATATTAATATATTCGTGTTTGGAATTTGAAAAAAAAATACGCGTTGGATACGAATGGTGCTATGTAAATCGCATTGCGATAGTCAGATTCACATTGCGATTTACTTATTCGCATTGCGATTTACGTATTCGCATTGCGATTTACGTATTCGTATTACGATTTATGTATTCGCATTGCGATTTACGTATTCGCATTGCGATTTACGTATTCGCATTATGATTTACGTATTCATCAAGCTCTAGTGTAGACCTCCCATGGCAGAGCCAACATTCCTTTGCATTTCCTTCCTTCTCCACATCACCTTGGTTTTTTTCTTTTTTAATCTTTTTCCAGGGCACGCTTCGGATGCAGATCAAAGTCGCAGTACCCAAAGTAGAACGACAAACTTCTACTGGTTCTTCACACGCGTACGTAAGAACAGCGACGAGTGGCCTCCAGCTCGTGCTCCTCTTGCAGTTCGTACGTGTTTCAGCTTCTGTGGCCAGCCCCTTGTCATCTCCTCGTACTGTGCCTCTATCTCATTCAACCGCTCCTCAGTGAAAGGATAAGCATCTGCCCCATGAGCCATGACCAGACCCCTTACCTCCGTCGTAATGGTTTTCCCAGTCGGTCTAATAGCTACAAGCTTAGGAGATGCATTGGACCTTGAATTTGTGACTCAACGATGACTTGTGAGCATCACCGAATTGAAGAGCCAACCAAGACATTCCATATTAATATTCCTCAAAAGGAGGTTTGGTCCCTGTCACTATAGAATTAAAAATCACTTCGAAAGCTTTATCCTTTGCCTTTATCTTCTTCTATACTTCGACGTGAAAGAAATATAAAGACAAGCAGCAGCCAAAGAGAAAGTAGAGAAGATCCTTTAAAACTGAACTTTTATTACTCAAAGAATAAATCAAACAACGATTACAACTTTATAAATACTAAAAAATGCACTAAAATATCTCAACTAACACAAACGTGTCTTCTGAGTTTATTTGCCTAAATAAAAACCACTAACTCCTAAATAAAATGAAACTAACATAAACTTCCTAAATAAAAGGAAAACTTCAAACAGAATAAACTTTTTTAGAAAAGACCGATTCAACAACTATGACAGTAAGTTTCACTAATTTGCAACACTCCCCCTTAGTGCAAACTTAATGTCAACAACACAAAGAGCACTTCGAAACACTTCAAATTTTGCTTTGCCAAGTGCTTTGGTAAATATATCAGCAACTTGATCTTCAGTTCGTATTTTCTACAGCTGAATGTCCTGAGTCAAAACCTTTTCTCGAACGAAATGATAAAGTGTTTCAATGTGTTTTGTGCGGGCATGAAACACTCGATTTTCAGCAAGCTTAATTGCACTTTCATTATCGCAGTGAATAGGAACTGGATAATCCAAGACATAGAACGTTTCTTGAATAAGCCTCTTAAGCAAAATACACTCTTGAATGGCCATAGTAGCTGCTACATATTCAGCTTCACAACTTGAAAGAGCAACAATAGTTTTGTTTTTGCTGCACCATGAGACTGTTGTTGAACCTGTATTAAAACAATACCCTGTTGTGGAGTGCCTATCATTCACATCATCAGCCCAGTCTGCATCTACAAAACCAGTCAGAGAAAATGATGCATGATGCTTATACAATAACCCAAAATTCAGAGTGCTTTTTACATAGTGAAGAATCCTCTTTGCTGCAATTAAATGGCTCTCACGTGGTTTTTCCATAAACTGATAGATGACTCTTACAGAATATGAAATGTCAGGCTTTGTGATAGTTAAATAGAATAAACTACCAACAAGCTGTCGGAAAAGTGTTTCATCTTCCAATAGTTTTCCTTCATCTTTAGTTAACTTCAAGCAAGGTTCCATAGGAGTAGTCATTGCTTTTGAATCCCCCAAAACGATTCAGTAAACTTACTGCATATTCTCTTTGAGAGAGAAAATGTTCATCTGTGTAACACTCATAGCTCATATATGTCTCGTAATACGAGTCACAGATGTCACATCAACTCAACTGACATATTCTAAACTTAAATGCTTAAAAATTTTGTTTCATTAAATATTTTCTTTTTTAACTTTAAAAGCTTGTTCATTAATCATAAAAATTTATAAAACATCATTTGATCATTGAAAACTAATATGATTCCAGTCAGTAATTAGGCAGTTCAGTGTTGTTTCATATCCAAATACAACTGCCTAATTCCGTTGCGTTTTAAACCATTTAAAACATAACATTTATAATATTCACTCATAAATACTATTAATACTAAAATTAGACAAAACTAGAGAAAATAACCCTAATTACTATTACAAACCCTTTTAAAATAAATTTAAATAAGGCAACCCAACAAATATAATGTACACACCACTAATAAGTCAAAGTTAGGATGTCTTACTGATATTGTCAGTAGGTTTGAATTTGCATAAGATAATGGCAAGATCCTTTCTTCATAACTTAGTAAGGCAAAAATATAATTAAAGTGATATAAAACCATAAATTTCATAAAATATAAGAAACAAACTGTAATTTAAATAAAAACATTAAACTTCAAACCGAGCTGGTCAAGTTGTTTTTCCTTCTGAAAACCTGAAAAATCACCATCTCATAATTTTATCAAAAATATTGTAAGTCAACATTGAATATCATAAATAACTTTTGTTCTGTTTATTCAAACATATTTCAAAACTTTCTTTTCAAGTATATGTTCATTTCTTTCACATAATGTCATAACTTTCACATTTACTGTTATAGCTCAATGTATATGTAAGAGAATATAAGGTACGTGAGTTTAAGGTGCGCACTAGTCACAACACGGTGCTGAATCATAACTGAAACTGAGATATGATGCACTTCAGTGCAATCATAACCTGAATGATAACCAACGGTGCTAAACATTGATACACGAATATACCAAAGCTGAACTGATAACTGAACATTGATACATGAAAGTACCAAACCTGAACTGATAAGAACTCACTTAATGGCATGCCAAATGTACCTACGACTCTCAATGCAACATACAATGGACTTATCCTTAATATCATAGAATCATTTATTATTATGTATCTGATAACTGTGAAATATCAGTTCTTATAATTATCTAATAACTGTAAATCATCTGATAACTGTAAACATTTAGAATCCATCATCTTAAATATCATACTTGGGCAGTTCATACCCAAAATCATTCATAAAACCTGATAAAACAAAATATTATAGAAATATTTCATACTGAAAATTTATAAATCATACTATAAAATAAAATGAGGTTGACTTATCGCAAGTCGTCTTTGACTATAAAAATAATCAAATAAACAAACTGGATTAACTTTAACACTTTATTACTATTATTTAAAATCAAAATATAAGCCTCACTAAGATTTAGATTTAAATCTTTTGCCTTTCACAACTTTCAATATACATATTATCAAAATTCTATATTATGACAGTTTGCACTATCTTCAAACAAATATTATTTTGTATTAATTTATATAGTGAAAAATTATTTTGTTTGCACTAATGAAAACTAGACTCGAATATGATTCTAACCATATAAGACACTTCGTCTAGTTCTACTTGTAAATTTATTGTGAATTTTCAAAGTTGAGTGATAGAAGTTGTTCCGACAGAATTTTGCTGCCCTGTTTTTTGATCTATCACTGATTTAAAATTCATATTTATTTGTGTACATCTCGAAATCAATCACCATTTGATTTATAAACTATTTATAATTTATGGTGAATTTCTAATGTAATACCCCAACCCATATTAAAAACCGAATACGAGTTCGAGGTGTCACATTGACTTTTCAAAACATTTACTTATATAAAATAGTGAGTAATTTAAAACTTTATAAAATATAACTTATTCAAAATGTTTACAAAACTATTCAGAGCTTATACAATATATTCTTTTAAATACATGCCAACTAGAACTTTATATATTAAAATACATATTATTCACCTCTCTTCTGATCTGACTTTTAGTAAGGAGAACTGACATGTCTTGTTCCACATTGCTCTTCACTCTTCTTGAAACCTACGTGTAAATCACTTACACGCTAAGTCTATGACCTAGTGAGGCAATAAATATATAATGTAAACTATAACTTGTAATCATGCATGAACAATTACTGCTATCACATTATACCCAAACATATATTCATTCATATATCAAATCCATACATGCATATAATTATCTTCTTTCCTATCATTATCATATTATTACCATTCGTATTTCTATTCTCTTGTTTATATGATCTATTATGTTTATATCATATATCTTATAACATATACAATAATCATTAACACACACATATATCATATCATATAATTCATATCACAAAACATATATATATATATATATCACATACATTATATTCAATGTTATCTCTTATTAGCCCATGTACACCTGTGAGAACTGTAGATATGTGAGTCTATTGAGGTTGTGCAGTATGCTGTCACCATAGCTCGTAAGGGTCCCACTAGGGGCTATGAAATTTTGTCCCGAATGACCACTATGAAATATCCCGAATGATCACTGTATGTCCATATATACACTTTATATCATATGTCATATAAGCTCATAGCTTCTTTCACATATACATGTAGTCATATAGCTTCTTTTCATATTATCACATAGTTCATATCTTATAATTTGTTTTCCCATGTTCACATATATCATGTCATATGGCTCATATCTTTCTCATGCAAACACATAGTTCAGTTTCGCATATGTTCATATATATACATCACATAGCACATACTTCTTATATCACTATATACAAAAGCTTGTTAACAAATATAATCATGCAACATATACAATAATATGTCACCACATCGACTCATGCACACATATGAACCATAGCAAAAACATACTTCTATCTAGGAATTCATGCATTTTACTATTGGAAATAGACTTGTCACAAATCCTATTTCCCAATAAACATCATATACTAAATAATATGCACTCACCTGGGCCTCACTAAGTTCCAATCCACTTTTATGATTTCCTTTCTTTCGATCGAATCTTAATTTGATAATCGTTCTGAAACTTGTTTGTGCTCGATATCTATATAATCATACATTGATATATATTAGTATCCAATTGATATATTCTAATCTATCATTTCTTATACCAAAAGAAATGTCTATTTCAATTTCCCCTTGAAGTGCATTGATACATTTTAGAGTGCATCGATGTATTCTTTAACATGTGCATCGATGCACTACCTATGCATCGATACACCAATCACCTTCGATGTTTTCATTTTAAGGGGGTGCATCGTTGCACTAATTACATTCGATGTTTATTCTTTAAAGAGTGTATCGATACACATTGAATATGCATCGATACACCTTGCCCATAATTTGCATTTTAAGCCCGAAAACCATCAACTTTTCACTCAATTCTTATATTTTAAGCCCCTATCATGTCATTACACTCAACTACCATTACTTAAACCAACTTATATCCATATAAATCATCTTTATCTTCTATATCTCATCATGATTTTTAAAATTTAAAAATCTTGCTAAACTTTCAACTTTGTTATTAATCCTTTCTAACTTCATAAATCTCTTATTCTTATTGATGACAAGTCAAATTCAACTTTCAATTATTATTATAAACTCTATTTCAATATTTCACTCAAGAACTCCAAATCTTTAATCTTCCCTAACTTATTTATCTTTTGATTTTAAGATAACTTAAGCTTTCCTTAAGCTTAGTTATCATCTACTGATCATACCCCAACCTTAAATTTATCCAGAAATTATCTAAATAGAAGACTCACCTTTGATTCAAGCCTTCACGTATGAAGAAGGAAGAAGACAAGAGAACTCTGGACCCTTTTCTCTCTTCCCACGTGGTTTCCTTATCTTATAAGCAAAATAAAAATCTTTATTGTCAAATGACCCTTTTGCCCTTCAATTCATCTAATAATTACAAATAACTTTTATGATTTATTTCCAAATAAATCATTGAACTAATCCATGGTTCTACTCTAGTCACCAAATTCTGAAACTTTACAATTTGATCACTAACCCGGTATTGAGGATGTTACAAATCTCCCATCATTTAAAGAAAATTCGTCCTCGAACTTTCACTGAACATATCAATAAGAACATATCTTCTAATGTTCTCATGCTACTTCATTTACTTAATATTTCCTTCATTTATTTCTTCAATTGTCTGTTTCCTTTATACATTTATCTACTGTCACTTATCATATACACAGTAACCCATAACCTCAATCCATTTATGTCTTTTATCTCTTTCGATTCTGCATTTTCCTTTGACCTTTCTAAAATTCATATAATGTCACTCATTATATAGACAATAACATTCATTTTCATCACTCAACTTCATAAATCCATCTCTAACTACCTTATAATAACCAAATTCGTTTTCCATCATCATTTAACCAAGAACACGACCTTAAATATTCTTTAAATACAATTCAACATACACTTTAAAGAATCTTTTCACATCACCTTGCACACTTTTCTTACTTCTATATCAAAATTATCATCTACACTTCCATATAACCTTTATCGTATCTGATCCTTTAATTCAATCCCTTTCATTTCTTTATTTCATTATTCCTTTATTTATTCCTTATACACAAATCATATCTTTCCTTTCATGTTCACATACTCTTGTCTTATCATCTATACTCATCTCTATGTACCAATCTACATTGCATCCTCATAACTTTGATAACCCATTTATTATACAGAACTTCATTCTTTATAATTTCTTATACTTGTATTTTCATTCCTTAAGGTTTTATGCAAATACTTATCTCCTTTTCTACATCATAACTATATGATCAGAATACACAACTATATTCAGATTCACATCATAATTGATTAACTCA